GCAGTAGATCAATCCATGTACAGATCCACAAAAATATCATTGTTTAACCCATGTCTTATCAGCTGTTATATCAGAAGAATAACATAGGAGAAATTGTGAAAAGCCTTGCTGAAATCAAGATACACTATATCCACAGCATTCACACAACCTACCAAGCCTTGTAACATGTCAGATAAATAAGGTCAATCTGACATGGCTGGTTTTTGAGAAACCCGCCATGGTTTTCACATTGCTTACACACTAAATGTTTAGTGATCTGTTCTAGGATCTTTCCTTACATCAACAACAAGCTAATTGGTTGCCAGTTGCCTAGATTGCCCCTTTCTCTCTGAAAATAGGGGCAGCATTTTGCTCACCTCCAGCCACATGTTCTCCAAAAATTCTCAAAGATTATAGATAGAGACTCTGGAACTACATCTTGAAGTTCCTTTGGTACTCCAATATAGTTCAACTGGTCCTGGAGATGTGAGTTAATTTACAGTAGCTCTGAAAGAAACAGGTGTGCCTCAGCACTTGATTGTCTTGGTACATAACTTGTATTGTGGATAAGAAGCTACAGTTAGGACAGAATATGGAGAGAGAGAATGGTTTCCAATAGGCAAGGGTGCATTCTATCCCTTTTTAATATATCGTATTGAAAGCCAGACTAGATTCAAATGAAGGAGGAGTGAAAACTGTTGGAATCATAGAATAATTGAGTTGGAAGGCACCTATAAGGCCATCAAGTCCAACCCCCTGCGCAATGCAAGAATCCAAATCAAAGCAGATCTGAAAAATGGTTGTCCAATTTTCTCTTGAAGGCCTCCAGCATTGGAGCGCTCACCACCTCCCGATGTAATTGGTTTCATAGTTTTAAATGTATTTTGGAGGCTCATGTTAGCCACACATAGAGTACTTATACCCTTGAGGAAGGTAGCCTATATTGTGTATATGTGTGTGCATGTGACTTCATCATGACCATCTATTCTCACAACTGGAGACCCAGTACTGTATGCCACAGAAAATTCAACTGCTTGGGGCTCAGAAGAGATAGGTTTTGAAAGAAAGGAATGAAAGAAATGCTGCTGTCTTAGCAAAGACAAAATGTCTTACATACTTTTTCTCTGCTTCAACAATGGAAAACATAGAAGCTAATGATGAAGAACGAGTTCCAGATCTCCCAAGTGCAGAAAATGAGAGTAACATATCAAATCAAAATATTGAAGGTGATTGATCGTCGTGTCCTACAGATAATTCAGACATGGACAGTAATGTGTCATCATGTGATCCAGACCCGGCCACATGGTTTTCTGTCAGAGAAAAGTATGTGCCCTTTTGATCAAAAGCAACTTTGATATGGAACAACAAAAATGACTCTGATACTGCCAAGAATCTCAATGCCATTATCAGTCATTATTTCAAGAATTCCACACTATTCATGACAAATGCTGAGCACCATCTCAGAATGTAGCTCCTGTACAGCAAATCAAAAGGTGCTGTTTATTGCTTTTATTGTACTTTGATGTCCAGACAATGTGGATCCAAGCATAATGGGAATTTTATGGAACTGATTGCACAATTTGATCCATATCTGATACGTCACTTTAAAGAATTTGGCAATCCCGGAAGTGATAAACTGTCATACTTATCACCAACCATCTATGAAAAAATTGTTCTGCTGATGGCAAAATACATTAAGAATAAGAATTATATTGTGGCAGAACTGAAAACTGCCAAGTATTTCTCAATTTCCATAGATTCAACAACAGACCTGGCTCATGTTGACTAACTAATAGTCATTGTAAAATATGTTGTTTCTGGGAAGCTGATAGAAAGATTTTTAACTTTCCTGCAGACTGGCTCTCACAAGGCTGAAGTTCTGGTACATCTCTGCTAGAATTTCTAGAAAAATAAGGTATTCATTTTGAAGACTGCAGAGGGCACTCCTACAACAATGCAAGCAATATCTCTGGTCACTACACAGGGGTGCAAGCCAGATTTAAGAATAGGAACCCAGCAGCAGTTTTCACTCATTGAATTCTGTTGGATAGTCTGCTGCCTCTTGCTGTGTTGAAGCTGTTACTTATTTTGGCTTCATAAAAAGGTTATACTCCCTTTTAATGCATCAAATCACAGATGGGCAAACGTAATGAAATGTTTGGAAAGGAATAAAAGAGCACTAACTGTGAAGTCCCTGTCAGACAGTTGTTAGTCAGCAAGAGTGGATGCTACTGAAGCCCTTGTAGATGCATACAACTGCATTCAAAATGCCCTCAGAAAAACTGAATGTGACTTGGAGCAAACACCTGAAGCAAGACATGAAGCTCAGACATTGGCAGACAAAATGGATTGTCTTGAAACTGCTCTGATGGCCAAGATCTGGAACTTAATTCTTGAACAGTTGAACAGCACAAAAAAAAGCTATTACGAGAGTTGAAGTTGACCTGAAGAAAGGGCTGGACCTAATTTATTCTCTGGATAAGTTTCTGAAACCCCTTTTGGATAGGTATGGGATAGGCATGAAGTGTTGGAACTGGATGCCAGGAATTTCTGTGCAACAAAGCAACTACAAGGAGGCCAAGAAAGAGAAACAAACATTACGATGTGACTCCAACATTAGTCTCAGAGGAAGTTGTCCTTTCCTCAAGAGAAGAATTCAGATCTGGAACTTTCAATGTCATTTTAGATCAGATCTCTCTTGCCTTATAGGGTAGCATATCAATCAGGGTATGACAGGTTCAAAGTCCTAGTTAACTTATGCTGTCTGCCTGATGCAGAGATAAGAACTGAAGCTGAGATGCTTATCACTGCTTTCCCCCGTGATTTTAGTAAGGTGTTCCTAGACGAAACTGTCCAGTTTGCAGCCTTTGCCAAGCTCACGTCATTTCTTATTCTATCCCTATAGGTGGTTTTACTCCATGATGAAGGACTCGCTGATACCTTTCTAAGTGTTAATGCAGCTTTTAGAGTGTATTTGAACATGGTGATCACTAGTTGTTCAGGAGAGAGATTATGCAAATCAGTATAATAAAGAATTATCAGGTTCAGAGTGTCATTTGGTTGTGTAAATGGACCGAAGTAAAGCTATGTTCTTTGTAATTTGTCTTACCTAAAAATCTACTTGGAGTTTTGCTGGCATGTATTTAAATGTATACATGTATTTACTTCTGCTGTATACTTTATTTAACCTTTCTATGTGCATATAAGTTCCAATGGCCTGCAATAAATGTAAATCTGGTGATTGCCATGCATTTCAATTCCTCTGTATGAGCCCTCCCTCAAACCTGAAGTGCCCCATCTCCCCCAAGGTTTAAGTTCCCAGATATATCTTATTCCTTGTTTTTGGAGTGTCTCAATAAACAGCTTCTGCTATCTGCACCTCTTAATCAATTTCAATCTGATCTCCTGCATACAACAGTTCCTTTATATTGATTAATGCATGGTGTACTGCTAATTTCATTGTGTAGCAGCAGAATTTTACAACAATATCTCTTCGCCATGCTTCTTGCTTAGGACCCACTTGGTGAACTCTTTCCAAGTCTTCAGATCTTAAATCTTGGCAAAAGCCTTGGATCCATTTCAGGACTATATTTCTCAAGTCCTTCCTCCTTTCCCCCTCTTTAAAATTCCTCCTATATAAGTTCTGATGGCCATTATGATTTTCTTCATTGTCCACTTTATCTTTCAACAGTCTTAATTAATTTTCCATAACATCAGTTCTAGTCTATTGGTGCTGAGTTAGGTCAAAAACATCACCGTCAGCCTTCTCCGTTTGTTTAATGTTAGACTTACAGTAATTTCTGCCAGTGCTTCTTTCACAGGCACTAACGCTGCAAGTCTTTTCTTAATTGTTTTAAGGAAACAATTTCAGTTTCATATCTTTACTGAGCTAGCCTTACCAGTTCACTATCAGTAGCCTCTTTTGCTTTTGAAGAGGTATTTGGTCTACTTTCTCATGCCATCTACTTTGATCTCCCCATTTCTGTGTTTATTTGCAAATATTACTTACGTATTTGCCTGCTTTCACATTTAGTAGTTTCTTATAAGGAGGCTTAGAGGAGAACAGATCTCTTATGCCACCAACTTCCACAGTAGCAAGCCACGCCCCCCCTGTGGTGCCTACTATATCACTTCTGCCTTCCTGTGTTAAGATTCCAAGTTCATCTTTTTTATTGCATCTTCTCAGTGCATTGGCATTAGATACACCTGAACCCATGAGATCCCCTCCTGCTTCATTCTTGTTGTTTCCCCCCCACACACACACCATTAGCAGGGTTTCTGTACCAAGTGCCAGCTTCCAGTGCATTATTGATGCACATATGCGTACTAATTAACATCTGCTTGTCTTCTAGAATCCTGTCTCTTTCCCTGCAGCATTCCTGCCAGATGTCTTTCTTCACAAAAGCACAGACCATAGTTCAAGAAGCCAGACCTTCCCCACAACATCAGTTGCACAACCAGTTCTTCACTTCCACAATTCTGTTTTCTCATCCTAGGCTGTGATGAAAAAGGATTTCATTACAAAATCATTTGTACCCCAACTACCTTCCTACTCTGAGCCTTATAATGACTTGCAATATGTAGAAGGCTGTATCTGGCAGTATCATTTTCCTGCATATGGGGGAGGGGGCAGTTATGGAATGAGCTTCTCTGAGGACTGTGAACACATTCAAGCGTTCCCTGGGCCACAACAGTGCCCTCCTGCCTGAGCCTTTCACTCCAGAAGCACCACTGGATTGCTTCTGACATGAACCAAAAAAAAAAAAAAAAAAGAATTTTCTGATTTGGATGGAAAGGGAGGGATAATTATCAGTGTCTTTGTAACATCTTTGTCACATGAGATATGTAGTTACTGTAGTTCTCAATTTGTAAACCCAATTTATTTACAAAATACATAATCCAGTTCAAATATATCTTTACGTAGCAATTTTAGGGATAACTTTACTGCATGTATCTCTTTTCTTGCTGATATTCTTCTAGCCTTACACATAACTGTATATTTTTTTCCCTTTTTGTTTTAGTCAGGGAGTGTCAGAGAATTGAATCACCTGCAAGAGGAACAATCAATTGCATAAACCCAATTGGTGACTTTGCTTACAACTCCACATGTTATTTTTCTTGTGAACCTGGGTTTGAGCTCCTTGGCTCCAAGACTTTGAGTTGCAATGCATCTGGACAGTGGACCTCCAGTACACCTGTCTGTCACGGTATGCTATCTAAATAGAATTTTGTGTACCTGGCAATCCAGTCATTTAATTGATTCCATTTATTTTTATACGGCAAAAACATTGGTATGGTCCAGATTTATTGATACTTAGACTACACCCATTTAAATCAATGGAGTATATTACTCACAAGTGAAATCTGACTAATTTCAGAAAACCTATTCTGCATCTGGAGCCATCCCTTTGTGCTCAGAACTGAATACTGGAAATACAATAATCATTATTATAATACATTATAGTTTGGCACTAACAATTGAAAGCTGACTGGATAGGGTCAGTGAGTTAGGTATCTGGCTGTCGAACCAGAAGCTGGGAGTACAGCTCCCCACTGTGCCTCCCAGAAGAGCCAGCCTGTGTGGCCTTCAGCAAGAAGGGCGCCCTCAGAAGAAGGGAGTGATAAACCACTTCTGAGTGCTCTTTACGTAGAAAACTCCCCAAAAGAGTCACCATAAGTCGTAACAGACCTGATGGGACACAATTATGTTATATCAATAATTTATTTATTTATTTATTTACAATATTTTTTAGCCGCACCATTGCCAGTGGCTTCTGGGCGGCGTACAACATTAAAACCTAAAAACATTAAAAACATTGTAAGAAACAGTATAAAATACCATATATTAAAATATTTCTTAAAACAATTAAAACATTAAAATTAATTAATTAAAATGCTGGGTGAACAGAAAGGTCTTTGCCTGGCGCCGAAAGGCCAAGAGTGTCGGAGCCAGGCGGATCTCTCTAGGGAGGGTGTTCCAAAGTTGGGGGGCAACAACCGAGAAGGCCCTATTCCGACATGCCATCCCCTTCACCTCTTTCAGGGATGGCACCTTCAGAAGGGCCTCCTGG